CGAGAAGAAATGCTGGGAGTAGTGGTGACGGGGATAGTTATGTTTACTGACTTTAATTTTGTATATTGTTAATTATCTTGTAAGTAGTATAGTAATTGCTGTACGTAATTATTAGTTGCGCAGCATTTGGGTACACTTATAACGCATATTTATTCCCTAGCCCTCCCGTTGGTTACGATTCCATTTCTGACCAGGTAGGTCGGTAGCATTAACTGCTGTTACAGTTGGTATGCTTACCGTTCCCACTTGTAGTTAGAATTAACAAAGAATCTATAGCGTTGTTTGTTTAAGTTAATTGCAGTTGCAGGTGCCCAAGGCTGCAAAAGCCATTTACTATCAGGTTTGTCACTCAAATACTACTAAAAAATTTAGCCCTAGTCGCCAGTTGGTAGACGTCGCGTCGAAGCGTATAGCAAAGCAGTGGAACTAACTACGTTGACGACAGTTTTCCAGACTGAAACGATATACTTACGGCTCCTTTGGGTAAGTGATTACATATACGGACACCGTCGAATACTATGTTCAGGTAAGTTGAAAGTCAGGTGTAAACAATACTTTGATAGTTAAACCACTTACTATTTTTTGTTATTTAATTATTTATACAACTGCGCCCAATTTCTATAATTTCCTATTATGCACCTCCAATTTTTCGTATCGAAAAAAAAGTCTTACTATAATATTTCTTTAAGTTACCTATTAAATAGTAGGTACATACAACTGTTGTTTATTATTATAAATGGTTTAAAGTAAACTTTTCTTTAAAAAGTACATGTAGTTTTTATAAAATGATTACGTAGGTAACTTGACTACTAACTACTAAATGATAGGTACTTATACGTGGTAGAACCATGCTGCAATTATATTAGTAGTATAGTTGTAGCACGAATGGGTCGACTCGACCGGGGAAGGACCACGATCTCACAGAATATCAGCGTAAAACAGTAGTTAATAATATATTAATAATGCTGCTGTGTTTCGTATGGTGCGTGTGGAGAGAACCGGAGACCCTTTTTACTGGAAACGAGGCAATGAGGCATCCCATCTTAGTCCTCAGGGGTGACAACATGTCAATGTTCCATTTCCTTATATTTTAACAGATTTTATCATCGCAGTACCTTAATGCCATCGATAATGATGTACGTTGAAAACTATTATATTAAAAAGAAAACTATTGTATAAACTGAATATATATAATATATACTGAATTTTCTCTGGTTATTGGATAGCAACTTGTCGTATAATATACAAAACACGTGCTATTTACTGAAATTATTCTGGTGTACTGATTTAATGTAAACTGAGTTAGTAATTAGACTGAACTTTAAAGTAAATTGTTTAAATTTAAAATCTCTTCTGAAACTACTACTATTATTTATTCAGTGATACTACTAAAGAATCCAAATTGGTAGACTCAGGATAGTCCAATGGCAAATACATGTGTCATACTTAAAACAATGTTAAGTCTTTTTGTAGCTAATAATTTGAAAAATAAAGTAAAAATAATAAAAATTATTAATATTTATTCCTCCCGACCACCCAAAAATTCCTACATTTTAAAATTTTGTCCAGATAATTTGGTTTTCCAGTCTGGCATCTTAGGCGTACTCATTAGGGGGCAATTTATAAAACTAAACATTTTTTAATTATATTAATGGACTTTTACCATACCTTTATAACACCCATAACTGTGAAGATATGAGATGCATACTGTATCAATATTAAAAAAAAAACTACAAATCGCATAAGTACCATTCGTGTCTATGGACCATCCTTTTAGAATTTTGTGAGTTCTTGCTTATACATAACTCTTTGTGTGGTATCATTTATCTAAAGTGAAAAGACAAAACTATAATATTCATCTAAATAAATATTTTTGTTGCTTGTGTGCTTCTGTGTGGAATTGCGTATTGGGTAAATAGAAAGGATGAGGGGTAGGGAGGTACGCTATAAGAGAGAAATAAAATGGTGAATATTTTTTCCACCGTTAAGGACAGAGCGTTCAAAACAATACCCCGACGTACCGCACAGGTACATATAAAAATCACAGAACACTAATTTAGTAGCCATAAAAACCCAATAAAATTAATACACCGAAATGTATAAAATCACATTCGAATAGCCAACGGTTTCTCGACTCTGTCCCGGGCCGGCATTATCGTTTATTTCCATATTTAATGATAATCTTAGCGTTTTGATACACATAATTAAGGAACAAAAACCAAAGAACTTTTCACATCGTCATAATAGTATCCAAGTTAACTCAGACGTGGTAAGTACACATGTCCTTTAATTCTAACGTCACTTCAAAGATGGCAGGGTGCAACATTAATGTTAGGCGGAATATTATTTTGCGTCCTGCATTCTCTGTAGCGGCGTGCAGTAACCGCCACCGGAAGTCGCGGGGACCGGCGCCGTCGGATCCCTGCGACTGACATCTTAAATAACTTACCAATCGATTATTAAAAAAATGCTACACCTACGGATTGGCCCCGATGGCGGTTAGATGTTACCCTTACTTACGGATACTATACAAAGAAAAAGTACATAATAAAAATTATACTATTGTTTACTCATCCCAACCTTATTTATATAATTTACAAATTGAGTTGCTATGTATATTTTTATTTTTTTTTATCAATGATGTCAATCTGGCAATGGCGGAAATGTGCCTTGTCACAATATGTGCATTTATTCATTAACTTTCCCATAATCTCGATCTGTCTACCGAATATAAAGCTGTCATCTCTTATATTAAACATTAACTAAACTGACTTTCCCTTACACAAACTATACTTTTTAAACAATGCATGTTCTCACCGAATAAGAAACCAATGTTAGTTTTAACATAACTAAATTATTATTAACTTTATTATTTATGTCAAGTATAACAAAAAAAAATTAAATGCAGGTACAACATTCGAGAATTCGTAACTCTCCCGTTAATAAACAATTAAACAATTACTAGAAAAAAAAAACTCTATAAAAAATGACATACATCTATGATCTAATCCCTATTATGTACATTTAACGCCTAGTGGAAGATAAACTGCGAACCTTTAACAGGATAACTTTAAACCTCCTCGTGTATCACTACCTAAGAACAACGCTATACTCCTACATAATATCTCACAAAAATATTTCTTGCAACTAATTCGAGTATAAACCTAATATATCTATATATGTATATGTACATAGCAAGGCACATTCCGCACACAATTAAAGCCTTCCAACGTACAAATCTGCTGACCATGAGCTTGATAAAACATCAATCTGTTGTAAAGCCCGGGCACAGAAGCAAAATTTCAATGCGCCACCAAATAATTATTTTTAATCTGTCGTCGACAAAACTGAGCGCGTCAAATTTTTTTAGCCTGGCTTAATACATTCTCGATTCCGTACCGCACAAGTACATCACTAACTTACTGCAATAAAATATTATATAATAATAAAAAAATGCAAAATTTTCTATTAGTAGGTACTATGAGGAACTATGTCGTGGTTATTTTTTACGTTGAAACTCTTAACGGACCGCCATATAAACGTAGGGTATGATGTTATTATCAAAATACACAGTCTACTTAATTTATATATAAAACATATACTAGCCACTGAGATTATATTTCACTGTTTTGAGTCACTGGACTATTTAGCTAGATAAAATCAATTTTATTAGTTCAATTTATTTCACAACATAAAAACAAAATTTTATAAAGTATCCGAATACACGAAGTGAATTAAGACATACATATACAATAGCGCAAACTTCGGCTGTACACGCACATTAATAATTTTGTTTTTCATTGTAGGATCGTCGCGTCGTGGCGCTAATTTTACTCTGAGTCACAGATAAAAGAGCGCGGAAACGAATATGACAAGTGCGCGCTTTCGCCAAAGTACTTTTTATAATAAAAATACATTAATATTATAGTCATCCAGAAAATTTCTAATTTGAGTTGGTGCAATATATTATATGCATAATTGATTCAATAGTGTGAAAATGGTCCGAAATTCTTCAATCCCAAAGATGTTAAAATATGGAATCGGAAAGTTAATGGCATGATTAAATATAAAAACATATGAAGTGTTAAAATTTACAAAATAACAAAAAAAAAACACTACAAAAAACCGTAAGCAAAACTAACCTATACATATCTTAGACTTATCATAATATCAAATTTACTATTTTCGATATCACTATCCTGATCTCGCACAAACACGCACGAGATGTGGGATGAAATAGAAAATCCTACGAACCGGGCCGAAAACATATATAGTGGCCAGCATCTCCAGAACTTTCCCATAAGCCGTCAGCAGCCACTTGCCAGCCTAACTTATAAATTCACGGCTGTCGGAACTACAATAACTATACAGCATTGACAAACCCATTCGAATCGGTTAATAGTCAAGACACAGCGAAACGCATATCATACTTAGTAGGAAAAAGTCATCTTTAACGTTTGGGAGTTATGCAACAAATGTCAATTTTTTTTATTTTTACAAGTCAATACGGTTTATACAGTAAGGCGCTATTTTAACTACATATAAGGTACTTTTAAATGATAATTCAAAAATTATTTTCAGAGGTATAACCAGTCTACTAGTTCACGAAGCAGTCTGTTATGAATTATGATAGGTAATATGAAGACCTGGGATTCATCAATAACAATTTTATGGCTCACTTTGGCACTGCAAAATATCGTTTGAGCAAAACAAACCCGCAACTTCTAACTTCACGTCTACAATACTATCCGAACGTTCAAACAGAAGCAGAGTAAGCCGTAAAATCTTACAATTTATTGAAACTGTAACAAGATTTCTGACAATATATTTACGACAACAACTCGAAGAACTAAAATACGGCAACAGGTTCAAAAGAATCACCATATGCTATTTTACAAAAGTAGAACTTTCAAGAAGTTAGCAAGTCCACAAGTGTCACGTGGAGACTTCTCGGAGTGCCTCTCCAGGCAAAACGATCACCATTTCAAAAGCCCGCGCGTTCAATACGTGCGATAGCGGGAAACCATCATTCGAAGTTTTCTCAGCTTTGTCACCAGTTTGTTCTGTTGTTTTTTAAGGTTTTCCCTCTCGTATTCCTCCTCGCGCAGTTTGCGACATAGGGCCGCGGCCTCACGAAGTATTACGACCTTCGGTGCACGCTCCTTGTCTCTCGTTGCGGGTACTTGCTTCTTTAGTTCATCGAATAGGTTTTTGAGGCCTATACGCCGCTGGCGCTCCATATCGTTATGTATTGAACGACGCTCGATATCAGGCGACTCGGCTTCGGAGTCTGTGTCTGTGTTTGAGCGGCGTCCACGTCTTCCCGGGCCTCGAGCTCTCCGCCGGGGAATGGAAGCTGTGGGTATACCAGTAGGTGGTACTAAACGTTTCCTCGCAGCCGGCCTTGGTGTTTGTTGAGGAAGATAATGGCGTTCTTGCGATGATGGCGACCGCAAAAAGGAATCCATACGTACTTGTGTGGTACCAGGCAATGGTTGATGTGTTGTGCCAAGGGACACTACGTCGATTTCCTCCTCTGTAACAAAAGAGAAAACGTTTAGAATGTTGTGTTTATTTCTAATAGGAAAGATAAAATTCCTAGTGCAGATATACTAAACTTTTCGAAGAATGGTGTTATTGGGTAGGACGAGTGCTATTTAAGGTTTAACGTTTGCTATTTGTATTGCAAATTAAAACCCGCATTAATAACAGTTTCATACCTCACATGCTTTCATTCATATGAAGTACATTATATTCGCATCACCATAAAAGGCGGGCGACTATCGTAGCGTCATCTATACACGATTGCGGGACTAGATGTGGTGTAGGGATGCGGCTGCAGTAGTCAGGTGGGAGGGGCGGCTACGGTGTGGGGGAGGCGGGTGAGGGCGTCGACCCCAGCGTACTACCGCAGCGTCTGTGGACATCGATCCAGACGCCTGACGTCACGGTTATTCGCGCCAAAACGAAAACGCGTGCGCGACTTCTACTGCAGGCAGCGTCCGCATTCAATGGACGCTAGGCTATCAACCGGTAGACACGCTTTCCGGTCTAACTGCAGTCACTTAGCGCATTGGAAAGCCGAAGTACACTTCTAGTACACAACTAGTAATAGTTTGGAATACCGCAGTTATTTAGCGTTGGCATGCAAGGCTATTTGAAACCAGTAAAACCTGTTATAGTTGCTAGGACACGATCGCGTAGCAACAAGTTTACAGTTCACTAGTATTTCGTTTTGAAATAAAAATGTGAGAAACGTACGGAGTTGTTGGCGTCAATGGTAACTGCCTCAACACGGGCGCCTCTCTGTTATAATCTACCTGCTTTTTCTAGAATCGAAGCCACTTGGCGTAGGATTCCCAAATGAGCAGGACAAAGTTACTACATAAGCCTTCATTCAATTCCGTTACAAAAGAAGAGGTCAGAATTAATTGCAGAGGTCGCGATGATTGCAATTGGTATTTAGTATTTATTAATAGCGAAGGTGGCAACATCGTATTCCATGAATGAGCGCGGTAAACATAATAGGCAAAGAGCACTCAACGACCGTGTTCTACGGATGTGGTGTACTACGTATCGTATTTACTACACAGCGCAAATTTCGCGGAAATCGCTGCATGCGACCGCGCTATCTCGTTACACCAACGAATAATTATGTCAGCGATTCGCGGCGATCGAGGCCGGCCGTTAGAAACGCGCATTCGCTTACAAAATCCGTAGCTATCGAGAATTTCCGATTACATTTTAAGGCGTTGGAAATAGAAACAGGTTATGTGGGCAGCTGTTAAACTGTTTCAAGGACGAAGCGACTCGCGAACTATACGCGAAACTACGTATAAATTAAACGACCTCGGCGTCGATAAATTCACGAGCCCGATCTTTTTGCCTTGATTTCCGCATAGTTACGCAGCGTATCGCGTCGATCTAATTTCGTCCTGGGTATCGCACTCGCGTGACGTCTAGGATATGTGGATGCGTATCCATTGTGTAGGGAGCCGATTTTCTCTTTCTCTGGCGCCGACGCTATTAACGCCCGACGGGTATTATTTTCAGCTTGTAAGCGATATGGCTAGCCGTTGTCGGCACGCCGAGCTCCGGTCTAGTGCGAATTACGAACCTACAATATATCGACATCGCTACATATTATTATGACGATATTTGAAGTTACATAGCGTACGTGAGGGTAGTATGGTCACTATCTGAAAACACAAAAACTACAGTATTGTTTCCATAGAGATGACAATGGCAGCCAATAATAAAACGTCAAAAGGGCGCGGGTCAATCGACGCCATTTTGACAGAAGTTGATTTTTCGAAGTGTTCCTTATTATTGGCAGTTTGTTTGCTATTTTTTTCTATATATATATATATATATATATATATATATATATATATATATATATATATATATATATATATATATATATATATATATATATATATTATTTATAGTATACGACTTTGTGTTCTTGTCTTTGTCCTCCTTCTAGTTTTGGTCTTTTAAGGCGGCAAAGAGTTTTGCTGTGTTATATTGTGTGTTATTGTTGAGCGTATTACCCCCACATTCCATAGTAGCCACAGATATTTTTGTACACTTGTGGAATATACGTTAAATAATATGTAAATTAATAGTACTTGTATGTCATAATCACCAGGCCGTATCAATTGACTAGTTAGCCCACTCAGTAGAAGATTAGTCACATTTTCTATGTACTGTCTACGTCTCACCGTGAGAAAGGCAATGAGTCATTCATCTTTATAGGTAATAAGTTAAAACTTGAAATTAATCCGGCTTATTACCAAGAGTAGTCTTTTTAAGTTTAAACCTAGAGTGAGTTTTAATAAAGTTCCGTAATAAAGAAGTCCCGAAGATATGCGAACTGTAAACTATGGAACCTGACAGCGAAAGTTAAATTTCACGAAGACTGTGACGCCGTGGTTTCTTTCTTGAAAAAACTCTTCTTTAAACCAGTAACTATTAGTAAACTACGTTTGTAATAAGACCGAATATGAATTATTACAGTTATGAAATTCAAAGCGCTATTCTATCTATTTCTAGGGAAAAAGCAGGGCGTGCTATGTGTTCCGGTCTGAAGGATAAAAGAAAGCCACTATAATTACAGGCCATGATATTTTCCATCTTGGTCCTCAAAAATGAAAGGTGACTGCATGCGCCCATGGGCTGCCGTAGTCAAATACCATTAGATGGACTAAGTTAGTTTATCTCAATTTATTAAAAAAGTGCGATTTCCTCAATAAAATTCTGTGGACATGATCGAATGTTCTCTTACAATAGGCATGTGGGGGGAGGGGGAAATGCGATTTGCACGGCTGCCTTAGCGGTAAACGTGATAACGATCGAGTCTGCATTAAAGTATGGTAATGTAAGATTTCTAACAGGTAATAGATTCTTTGTAAACATTTTTAAATCGTTTTTAAATGCTATCAGTTACGTAGGAGTGGAGGAACCCTTCTATATGCGTATAGAAGTTTTTTTTTAATGAATGAAATTGAGTATGGTAAGCATTTAAAATAAATGTTGGCAATATCAGTTACCAACACAAATAAATTGCATTCTGTGTCACTAGTCCGATAGGGTGCGGCTCGCAACCAGTAAACTAGGGTATTATATAAAAAGAAATATTGCAATAAGGCTCACATTCACATATGAAACGCTTACTTTTTCTTTAAGATACTGATTGGTTGCATTCTTGAAGTACTAACAATTAACTTCGAGAATAATTATATGAGTATGTCGATTTCTCAATTACTCTTTTCCTAATTTTGGGCTGTCAAGAAGGCCAACTACTACTTATAAATATTAGAGAATGTATCGGTCCTCTATCAAATTCCGCAAATTTCTATTGACAGCTTATGTCTGCGACGGGTGACCTGCAACCCGCAAGGCGGCATCAACACGCTCCGCCGCGTTCCACAGCCCGAGGCCAAGTTCAACGGCATTTGAACGCGATAATTAAAAATTATCATAACGTGCGCGCGTTGCACGCTATCCCGTGCAGACTATTTACAAATCAAACCCTACATTGTACTATACAACAATACAGGGACCGGTAGAGGTAGCTGATTTCATCTTATTGGATTTTAAAAGTGCGCGAAAATAATAGATATATTTTTGGGGTGCGCCTCAATATCGCTAAGAATATGCTCGTACATCCAGATAACACTTTCAACTCTTCAAAGGGAATTCCCAACGTAAATTGATTCGTTTATTCAGCGAATTTATAATTATAATAACCTTGGTATTTTTAATCTGTGATAAGACGTCGCGTGAGCGCGGCTGTATAAATTTGCAATTCGACACACCTATGTCTACATACTTGTAAAGTTAACAATCAAGTGACCATAAACGTGTAATATTTTATTATTATATTTAATTTATCTTATAACCCAAAACGGAACTGCTTACGTCAATCCTACACTGAAGATAATCTCATCCCACTAGCATTAATTCGACAAGACTTATTAAGGCATAGACAAGAAAGTAGAGTCGTGTTATAAAAGGCGCGATCGAACTCCTCGCTGAACTACGTCGAAGGTATTTTTGGCGTATTACGCAACCGTGAAAAGTCGGTCATCTAGGCAGTGTTTGGTACTCGAGACCGGCCGCCTTCTAAATCAGGCAGTGAAAATTTATGGGCTTGTGTACCATGGCGATCGATTGGGCGTTCGGCCTTGATGAAGTTTAAGGAAGTTCACGGGCGGACGTATAACATAAAAACGCTAGACTACACGGACATTGGACGTTAATGAAAGACAATGTAACCGGATTCAGTTTTACTTTTTTCTGGGAAGAGATATAGAACACTATCATATGAGTACGCTTTTCTTTGTAAGAATAATTTCGTCTAAACAGTCTTAAGACTTTTTTCACATCAAGGAAAATGTATTTTGATTAGTGCTGACAGATAAATATTTTTTAACGTAGGGTCGTTGCGCTGGTTTTCGGCCTTTTAGTGGAGTTGTCAACTTTAAGGTACTATAAAAAATAATAGCGATTATGTTGACCTAGTGTTGTTAATGTTAATTTATAGCTTATATAATGTAGTTTTCATTTTGATAACTCATTGATGCTACAAAAGAAATCTATTTTTTATAATAAATTTTGATGTGAAAAATATGGAAAACGTTAGTTTTCGGCCCCAAATTTTAGATTTCGGCCTACAAGAATTTTAGTTTTCGGCCACTGTATTAGAAGAGGTTACTTAAAAGTGTTTTTGTAAAATCAGAAAATGGCAAAACGGTTTGGGAAATCGGTGTATTTAGTTTCCTCAATCGGTGGTTGCGATTTTTTAACCGTGACGTTATTTTTTTCTTTTTGGGTGTGTTTTTGATATAAAATAATAACCATGATTAATTATTTCTCTTTGAATCTTAATCTAATAATAAAATCTTTTAAATATAGCAATCAAATATTCTCATTTACGAGTATTTTGTACTTCCTCATAAGTATTTTTGTTTAACAAAATCTGTTACCATATCTAACCATTCTCATCTCTAACCAAGAGGAGCCATCTGAAGAAAAAAAATTTCTTTTTTGAATCTTCCTCCTAAAACGCAATGTGAATAAAATATTTGATATGATAAGATGAAATGGCCGTAAACGTAAACTAAGACAGCATTCCATTTTCCGCCGCCGTATTCTTTCATACAATTTGAAGTTGGCCGAAAACTAAATTGTATATATTTTAGAGTCAATCCAGTTTTCGGCCACGACTGAAATGGGTATTTTGTTTCATCACTAACTGTTCAAATTGCAGTACTTGGTGGCCGAATACTGAAAGTTAGTGTCTGCGCACGCTACGATTCAATATAAGTAAAAAAGATGAGTTATAGTACGTAACCAAATAAACGAAAGAGACAAAGTATTTAGGCTAAACTCAGGCTACTTTTCGGCCGCATGGCCGACAACCAAATAATGGGACAATTTTATGTGTCACTTTTCGGCCACTTAATTTATTAACTTTATCAATAAATTATTATAATAATCAGTGTCAAATAACTATATTAGGTTATTTATATAGTGAAATCTATAAGCACAATATTAAGTAATTATATTAAATACAGCACGAAACTTACTTTTGAATGGAACGCTCGCCACTATTTTTTTTGCTCGATCTTACCCGTTTTGATAGCTTCAGTGTCGGCGTCAAACTAAACTATTTATTATAAATCGCGTGTTGTGTTTACCTGTTTAATTAATGCTACCAGATATAGTGAAACTATTTACAAATGCATTAAACTGTATTTCTTACGATAATATTTATTAAAATTGTTATTAAATCAAATTTACTGCATCAGCTCGTGCCAAAGGCCGAAATCTAGACCCGGCCGGCTTACCGGCGCATCGACCCTAACATTCTAAATAAATTTTACGTAAGCTTTAATAGTTTGACTAATTATTTAAATTCATTCCAAATACGCAGTAAAATTAATCTCTTGTTATCTTCACTGCTTCATCAAAATGGCGCGAATAATAATAGAATCGTCGCAAATGTCATGCGACTCAAAATATAAATAACTTTGTAATGGTTATGATTATATATTTATATAGCGTCACAAATTCGTTTCGTCTGCCGGTATACCAGAATTTTGACTTGATGACCTCATCCATATGAAGAGGTTAAAAAAATTAAATATTAATAGATGACAACAAACTTTTTTAAACTTCTACTAATCGATAGTAGAATAAATCTTTTAAATATACATCTTTAGACCTCTTTAATTCGATAAGTTATAAAAATTTTATAATATATAAAGGAATACTACCGAGTCTATAAAATATTATATTATTCAAAGCAGTATCGTATATATTATAACAACTTTGTTGTTGCCATGGACGATGTACGACTAAATTTGTGCGTATTTGTAAAAATTAAGATATAAGAATTTATAACTTTTATTGTTAAATGGATGACGGGGTCGGCAAGATCAAGGTGAATTTTTAAATTATCTTGTTGCCGAGTTTGCGTTATCGAGCGTATACGCTACGCATTACTTTTATATACAATACAAATTTATGTCAGTGTGACAACTCGGTAACTGTTATCGGCATTCGCGATTGACTCACGAAGGCCGTGATGGGGCCAAGCAGGCGATATATCAAGATTAGTCTTCGCCCAAGGCTCTGCTCGTACGATTAATTATAGGTACCTGTTGCCTCAACGACAACTAATTAGTTCACACGCTATCATCAAAACTACCGATAGAAACATGTTTAGACATCAATGTGTAAGAACCAAAACACGAGGTTAAGGTTCATTTTACCTTAATCGACAGCACATTTAGAACATTGTTGTATTCAAGTCAACACTTCACGTTACATTTAGCGTCGCATTATTTTTATTGCGATTTGAAATATTTACACGCAAAGCAATTGTTTTAAATATCTAACAATTCCGCGGCGATAACAGCAAGGTCAATCCTACTATACAACATACTCGTAGGTACAAGATTATTTTACGACAAGTACATATTACTCGCGCAATATGGACACAGCGTGATGAGTAAACAACGTATCGATCAAGAACAATAACGCCTTATTTTAAGTTATCGTTGTGAATTGGTAATAAAATGATCTAAATGATTCATTTTACATTCGTTTAACACATATGTGGAATTGTCATTAAAATGATGCCTTTTCAATAATGTTATATCAATAGTGTTTAAACACTAGGTATTTGCTGTCAAAGCGAAAAAGTTTCTAACATTTCGATAATGTTGAATTGAGTTAACTCAAGATATTGCAGTGCATCTGACAACTCTACAGTTTATGTAAGTAGGTAATAGGTTCGGGCGATCGCTTTCAATATATTAATTCGTGTCTATATGAATGGGTTAGTTTCAATTTAAAAGAGCCGTTGGCAAGTCTAAGCCTACGTTAGGCTTCAAAACTAGTACAAACTATATTTAGGTCACCGCTTGAAACGCCGAATAGAACAAATTGCTTTAACTACGCAACCGAGGTCACATATACGCCTGGCAGCTCGGTAAAATTGCACAAATATAAATACCATCAATATTACCTATTCATATGATTAGAAGTTTACTTAAATATATTTTAAATAACGAACTTCGCACAAGTGAGTGGATCTCGATAACAGCGCCACCTACCGGGTCCAAATGTGGATCTAAACCATCCAGAGTCCCGCTCAAACGCACACAAAACATTTCATCAAAATCGCTTCGGCCGTTTTCAAGTTTTTGCGAGAGTAATGGACAACAATTAATTTTTAGAGATTAAATACGGATAGGTACTCGTATCTCTTTAATTATTGAAACATATCTTTAATGACGCTCGTAAAATACCTACTACGAAACACTTTTAAACTGTTGCTACGTACCTAAAACAGTGACGAATTTGGACTGTCTTAAACTTAGATGTTAAACAAATATTTATTCAAGTGATTGTGTTTTTAATATTGCTTAGTAAGCATTTACGTCATTAGTTTAAAATAGACCAGTTGTTTAGTTATTGAAAACTTTTAAGATTGAAGCTATTAAACAGGCGATACCTACTTGGGCCAGACTTTTTTAGCGCTAGTATCTGGAGCGATTAAGGCGGATTCAATGCCCTGAATTCACCCTTAAAGGAATTATACAATTCATAGTGTAGCCTGCTCTACTTAGCGGGACCTAGAATTTAAAAGTCATAAATCAAACTCGACCGCGCAATCTGTCAAGATAAAGTCCAGGTCAAAAGCACCTACAACTATTTGACTCCGTTATCTATCAAAAGTTTATCAGGTTAGCCGCTTTTATAATTATAGCGGCTCGCAATAGATCGGTTAATTGTGAAATGGTACCTACGTAAAAGAAAATTTAGGACGTTATGAGTTTTGATAACAAACATGATTTATTATCTTTTGTAAGCCTTTTTTTAAGGTAACTGGGGCATTGTTGTAAAAATCCATGCGATAAAATTTAATAATTATGGCATTCGTAACAACATGGCGCGAAAATGAGACCGGCTGCAGTTCGTATTTCACACGGTGGCGTTTGGCGCGATAAAACTGCGCATGCGTCGTAAATTTAGTTTGCTCGCTAGCACTGCGATACGGACCGTTTCGAATCTTTAACTCAGCTTTATCCGATACGTTACTATTGCATTCTTAAATAGAAAAAAAAAACAACTTAAACTATCTATTTCTAATCGATTTCTACAGGGCTTATCAAGAAAATTGTCATCCGGCTGGACTAGACACAGGAATACCGCGTTCCAAACCGGTCTGACAAGCCGAGCTCCACTTCAATGAGATTCCATTTCATTCCGTCGCATTCTTGCGCGACTAACGGACGAGACCGGGCTGGAATGTCGCGATGTATTTGCAAACCTAATGATATTTTCAACTCACAATAAAATTTATGTAATTTTTATAATAATTTAAAGTCATATGCATGTGCAAGTGCAACGCGACTTATGCTCCATTGTAAAATAAATTTAATTAATAGTGTAAATTTAAGCGCCTACAATTTAATCACACATCTTGTCAAGAACGTTTGCATATATTTATTTTGAAACAATAACACACTTTGCGAACAAATTGATCATCGACATCACTTAATACAAGACGATAGTCCACTCATCTTAAGTTCTTTTCATCTTGCTTGATTTTTAAATTAAACAATGAAATATCCATAGCAATTTGAACTTTAGAATGATGCGGTTTTCGAATCGAATATTAACGTTAATGTTAGAACATCCTCGCCTTGATGAGCAGATTTTAAGGTCTAGTCTAGAGCAACTACTTTGCAATTATTCAATCCAGCGGGATAAGCAGGCTAAGGTTCGACATTAAGGAAGGTTGGGACGTTCAAGGTCGCAATGGGAAGGTTCCGGATGGCGCGGGTGAGTCTAGACGGCGGAGGGGGGGGGGGAGGATGGGAGTACCGCAACGGTCGATACGCGCAGTTTCCCGCGCTCGCGGACTACGCCTGCGTTCTCGCGACATCTTACTCTCATCTTACACAATTACATACCTATATTTCACTGTCGATAAATAATGTGCTTAAAAATCTTTCCTATCTCCTTAGGGAGCGTACATACTTATTCAAACGGAGAGTTTTATATATTAGTAGTTTTTAATTTTTTATGTGTAGAAAATGGTACGAAAAACCGTATATTTACGGAACATTCCTATGATAAGAATAAGTCATAAGAAACTCATTATGTATATATATAATGTGGAACAGATCATAATCTCAGATATTACAGATTCTATTATTAATAAGAGGTTTCATATTCTTTTTCAATTTAAAATTTCAAGTCGGCTACAAAATTAAACTTTCATGAAAACGACTACTAACCTGATTCACACGAGTCAGACGGAGTTTGAACACCAAGGTAATCGATGCGTTGTCGAGCGAGGGTGTACGAGTGGTCAGCGGCGACCGCAGCAGAATCCCGCAGGAGGCGCCGAGCCGCACCGGCCACGTCCACTACATGTTCAAATGGACATGGATGCTCGTCACCGTCGAGAGACGGCGGGGTCTCCGGCCTAGGTGGAGAAATATCGCGCCGAAGTAGACTCTGACCGGGCGTAGCTGTTATTAGGTCAGACGGCACGAATGTATTCGACGGATGAACGGAATCCACACATGAGCCCGCCCACATGCAATCATGGTGGACAATGTTATCCTTATGATCCTCAGGACTTTCCGCTATCCGCCAGTCGATATCACTGTCCTGCAAATACTGTACATTCGCAGGCGGTATTAAATCGAGCCGATCGACCTCGTACTCAACCTGCGTCCAGAATTCGGACGTCTGCGTCATTTCCATTGTCACCTCGTCCAACGTCTCCCATATGTCAAACTGCAGAATGTTTGGGTCAATCGGCGGAGGTGGCGACATTTTGTTTAAAATAACTAAATACTAACTAGTTTTAAAGCTAAGACGAACTTTTCGATATCACAGAGCCCCTTATCACAAGGACGATGCGCGCGATGGGTTCTACGCACACCGTCTGTAACAAGAGAAACTTTTGTTAAAAACACATTATTACCCACACAACAATTAATTTTAACACAGAAATCTAAAGCTAGTCTAAGTAGAGCCACACTGCAGCTATATTATGGCTGGTAGCACGAATGGGTCGACTCGATCGGGGAAAGACCACGCTCTCAAAGAATACCAGCATGAAATAGCAGAATAATGCTGTGGTTGGTAAGGAGACCCTTTTACTGGTAACGAAGCATCTTAATCCTGAGGGTACAACGCATCTGTATTTTAATTCTTAATCGAGAATAGATGTAGACCCATCCACTTATTATTCTTTATACTATAAAAAAACAGTGTATTTTTTTATTGTTTACTATGTATTCTAACTAATGGTTTAATTATGTTTGTTTTGTTGAGAAGTTAAACATTTATATTAAAAAAAATCGATTAGATAAAACTGAAGATATATAAAGATAGAATAATTGATGCTTCATCCAAACTACTTAATATCATGTACCTTTTATGTATTGCACAAGTTCATTAATAAAATGAACTACGATAGACAATCACAACAGTCTTCATTAAATAAACTGAAACAACACAAATAATTTGAAGGGGTGTTGACCCCTTGTATTTACAAACAAATCTAGATTGAACACTAGAGCAGGCAGTGTTCACCACGGAGCCCAAAACTAGACTGAAGTCTGGATTTGTAAACCAACTGTTTTAAAGGGTACATTGGCCTTGAAGCCTATTTATTCCAGTTTTTACAATTATTGTCCTTGTCAAACACCCCCGCATTCTTTTCTAATTTTATACCTGGATGTGGATGGGTATGGGTATAGCTATAGCAGTAATTCTACAAACAATAATTGTCTCACGTCAGGTAGACGTTCACGCAAAAACTGCGTTTGTTTACAAGCGTAAAAAGGCGCGAAAGTTATGTTTACCAATAAAACGACGCTACACGTCTTGTCCCTGCCAAATTTATGTAAAAACAAGTGACACTGCCGATACTTGTAGCATTTTTTTTAATAAAAATAAATCCTCAAGAATCTGTCCCAAAAATTAGTCATTTATAAAATTATTAATTACGTTACAGCCTATCTTGCCTCATTTGGCTGAATGCCATATAGCCTTTACCTAAAAAAAAAGTGAAAAAACTATCAAAATAATACACAATAAGATTCAGACAATATTATGGGTATATTATGTAATATTTAGCAATATATATAATAGCAAGTGCAAACATATTTAGTAGGCATAAAACATTACGTAAACTTCAAAGAAAATATTAAATTTAGCTATGTGGAGGCATGAAGTATTATTGTATATTATATTGTAAGTATAATATAACTTTATAGTCGAAACAATTTTTCACATTATTAGAAATTAATTCGGAGTATAGTTCTACGTAGATGTGAATGTATAATATTATTAATTATAAAGCTTTTGTTTTATTATGGGTAAAGTTTACACAATTTCCTCCTATTTACTGAAAGTATTTTTTTGAAATTTCGAAGTACAATTCTCTGAATTGCAACATTGTACAAATGACATATAATCGTGAAATTTCTAATATTTTAATCACCAATTTAATAGGGATCCGATAAAATGTTTCATAACTAAAAACATCAATTGTGCAACGAAAATAATCTTTGATACTAAAATGTAAATAATAACAGAATATGAACTTTATGAAGGTATTTTTTTTTGTTTTTTGAATACCCATAAACATAATTTTTAAGTTGTGTTCAAATAGCGGCAATGTAAGGAATTTGGGTGCTGGCAATTCGCAGAAACGCCAACAGGCCGACGTTCATTTTCATAGTCGGCAACGCCCCGCCGGCAACTCATACGTTAGGTATAGATAACCTATAGCTATCTACCCGCACTTATAAATTCAATCATAACAATTCTCAATTTACCTACGAAAAAGTCACTTAGTATCACTTCCTATACACAAACAAGTATAGCAGCTTACCGTAAAGTTTGTGCAAATCGCGATCCGACTGGGGCCGGCGAGTTACACAATTTTACACAAATTCTTCAGAATCTTCGACAAAGTTTTTTCCGTACACACTGTGTGACACTCACTAAGAATATGCGTTTAGTTATACAGTGTAAATTAAATACGGTACTTCTTCCGAGACCTCCTATTGAGTTTGTCAGACACTGAAACATTATTCGGGTGCCGGCCGGTTCTAAGGACTGCCGCGCGTGCTTTTCAGTTGGCGCCGTGGACACGACTAGTTCACGAGGCGCGAGGTGGCGAGCGAGTAGCGGTCGCCGCTCGCACTCCGGGCTTCGAGGCGGCGCCGTGCCCCTCACCCCGCGGCCCGGCTAATTCGATGCCATTCACGAAATTCTCTGAAAATACGTTTCGTCCTAACGATTACAACGCACGGGTGTGTTCCCATATCAATTATCTAACTATATGCACGATAATTTAGTTAAATAAGGGATTAAATAATAAGTTACAGCAAAAAATATCCGTCTTCTCGCGCCTCGCAAAAGTACCTACTCGAGGAAGGAAATCAGCGCAGCGGCATTACTGAGTACACGCTGTATGTGTGAGTAACTCAAGCTGTGTGCGTTAGGCGCGGCTTCTGACGTTGCTGTGGGAGGAAAATCGAGGCGAGCGTCGTTCGGCTGGCTAGCCTACGTAGTTCTACGGCTGTTGTATTTGTATTTTGTATTATCTTCTTCACTGCTCAGTGCTCAGTGCTCACTGCTTCAGCTTCACTCGGCCGGCGGTCCTTCTTGTGGTTGAACGTTCGTTCAATGTTTTTCGCAGCTGCTCCTTTGGAAGCTAGTCAGTCAACATTCCTTAGACAACGGCTTGTGGCGCGTAGCAGAAATAACTGAGCGATACTGATGAATTGGCTCCTATCCGTATTATTTATTGAGCTTTTGCGTTTTAGGAGTTACTAGATTGAGTTTATATGTACTAAGTAATTAGGTAGTAGGTATCTATATTATGCCTGTCCTTGTCATTTGACCGTACGAGCTTTATTTCAATTGCGCGCTATAGGTAGGTAGGTATCCAGGAAAAATTTAATATTAGGTATATTCTACTATGATTTATTTAAAATTGAGTAAATTAAATAATCTTTGTTTTAAAGAAAAGTAAGGTTTCTAGTAATACTACGATGTATTATATAATTCTATTAAATAATAAAAATATATTCTAATATCATTTATATTGTATAAAATTTTGTAAATATGTACATGCAATATATATTTTAATAAAATGTTTTGTCTGTACGTATTATTATGTATAGAAAACAGCATTAGCCATTTCTTTACTTTCCCGCCATAAAGTTCAACGACCCGCATTCCGTACGATGCATTCCTGACGAAATAAAAAAATCTGTATCGACTGCAAACCCTAAGAAATAGGGCTAGAGTGCGTAAAAAAATTAGGAATATGAAGTGTATTTACTGATAATAACTGGAAGAGTATTAACTATCAATTAACATTTACGAATTTTCAATAGCAGTATGTAGCTACTATTATTTATTCTGTGATAGCAGCAAATGAAAGCTATAAGCATATAAATATGTCGCAGCTCACTAATTACCTAATAAGCTTTTCAGTTAACAGCCTAGCTTAACAAATTAGCCTTAGGGTGGCCCAAGGGCCATCCCAGCCATATCTATACATAGAGCCTAAATAATTGAGGAAACTTACCATTTAAAGAATAATATGTAGTATGTATGTAGTAAGAATATAATGACTATTCCCTTTAAAAAAAAAGCGGTATTACTTTAGACTAGCTTGCTTATGTATGTACCTAATCTAAGCTTCAGACTAAATTGTTAGGGCGGAAACGTATACCGATTCTTCCTATACTATATCTGACGTACCTAAAAGTGCATAATTTTTTGCGTTTCAGTAATTAATGCACTTTTAGGTAATTATAGGCTGTGTGGCATTTTATTCTCTTTATCTAAAATTGGTTGTAGATGTCCCTACGCTGCAGTAATTACTCACAAAAAAGTGACTTACACTGTACAATCGATGCTTATCCCGGAAAAATAGGTCGATGATACTAGCGTCTAATATAAGCCTTTCCCTCCCTCTTCAATAAAATCCTTTTCAAATAACGCCATACAGCAGAAAATTTTATTTTCGTCGTATAATCATTCATAACTTAATAAAGGAAGTTAAAAATAATAATATTTAATTTCCTCATTTCCAAATATAAATATAAATTAACATAAAATCATTTAGAAACCAAAATGGCGTCTACTCAGCACTAGAACAGCTCAGTTTTAGAAACCACAGTAGGAACCACAGAAATCGTAATTATATTGTCTTATTATTACTATTTCTTTGGTAGGAACTATAACGATTATTTTCAGTTCACGCCAGAGACGTAGGTGCAATAAAATAAACTTAAATAATCACGGGCTCCAACATAAAATATAAACACTTATAAAAATTAAATATAAAATAAAACGTTTAACATTTAGAAAAAAAGGGCATACAATTAAATTATTTGATAAGATACGAAAGCAAAATAAATGCAGAATTAAGTAAATACTTCTTAATTTTATAATATACAGACACAGTACAGTACTATACTTCCTATGAAAGGTGTGATAGGTACATCGACAGTCTACACAGAATTCTACCAACTTTTCATAAGTACCTATATTGTTTTAGTTTTAATTTAAAAGTGCGCATCGTGTTACTATTTTTGATCGGAAGCACTTTCTTTTCGATAAGTTATATACAAAATGATAAAGTTTAAGTTAGTTTAAGAAATTACTTGGGTTTATTACATTACTATACCTTTTGACTGTATGGCGGCGCAAGAAAACCATGAACATGTGAATAAAATATTATGACTTCCGATAGATGGCGGTATACACATCTCGTACTCGTATAATACGCCACACGTAGT